TAATGGCTGGAGACGGCTTGAATGTACTTGTACCTGATGATGACAAAACCTTGTCGAAACGTTGTACATTTGCTGTTATGTTAAACTTATATTAAAGTTTTTCTTCATTACCCATTCAAGCCGTCTCCAGTCATTATTAGTCCATTGTGTAGCTTTCCGCTTAATAACAAAGCAAACAAACACTATCTTTATATATAAAATATGACTTGTGTAATATACTTGGCAGTAAACGTAAAATAAAATTATCTAAATGTGTTAAAAAATTATGTAAATATTTTACGCTATTCACGACTGTAGTTGGAATTTTCTGAAGTTAATATATATTTTTATTGAGTCTAACACATCACAAAAGAGTCTGTGCTTTTTATCATTTGAATTAAAACAATAAAATAAACCCTAAAAATTAAATAAAAAATACAAAGGATTTTATATAATTAATTGTGAGCTGAATGATAAAAACAACTTATATTGAATTAAAACTTCGATTAATTTAGCGTAATCTAACATTTATTAGACGAATGCAGGTCAGGCAGGTTTCAGTCACTGATATTAAAAATTCACTAATGACCTTTTAATGACGATTTTCTTAGGTTTCAGTGACGTTATAATATTCAGTAATTTTTCAATGGTGAAATTTCATGGTTTACTGGGATGTGATATTGTCGGTTGTTTGTAATTAAGCACAAAGGTACACAATGGGCTATCTGTGCTCTGCCCACCACGAGTATCGAAACCCGGTTTCTAGCGGTGTGAGTCCGCAGACATTCCGCTGTGCCACAGGGTGGCGATGTGATATTACCATTTTCACGTTTTTATGATGTGTAATCTTCGTAGGATTGAAAGATGAATTTTTCACAGATTCGAAAGATATATCGGTCACGTGATCATTAAAACATCAAAACAAACGCTAAAAGCCCTCCGTGAACTGAAAAAAAAAAATGCTCACAGAAGATTATGATTTTCATGGCATACTTACGCAATCAGTAAGGATCTCGGGTTATGAAGTGGGGCACGGGTTATCCCCGCAGTTTAGTGAACCGTGCCCGCATTTGTAAACAATTGGAAGCTTAAAAAACACAGACTCATACACTGAAACACTGTGAAAACAAGTTAGTCGTTTGGGGTTACATTTTATTTCCTAGTTAACATTACTCTTATGACCTGCTTATTTTTTGGGAGCTTTCTGGTTCATTATATCAGCATAGAATATTAAAGTGGACGGAAGATAATGCTTAGGGTAGATAAAAGAAAAAGGAAAAATGTACGGGATATGTTTTGATGTTTGTAGGAATGACTTAAAGTCGACTTTCATAAATCGAAGTGACCTGCTAAATTGTTTAAACTGATATTTTATGGAGAAGATCCCTTTATTAATGTCTCTTAATCCATTAATTTGTTTTGTAATAAACTTATTAAAGACGTTCATAATTCAACTGGACCCGTTGTTAGGCTCACGAATGTACAGATACGCGCTTAAAAAAGCGATTAGTAGAAAATATAAACTTCTGTAAAAGTATTTTATGAAAAAAAAGAAAAAAAAAGAGACAAACTTTGTAAGATTAGAAGTTATTCTATCAAAAATAAGAATGTTTAGACAGTTGCTCTTTGATTTTTGATACGTGGAATCCAGGAATATTCAAAGTGCAGAGCTTCTGGCTGTGCGTGTTTTTCATTAGAGCATACATGTGCACCAAACTTCTAATTTGCAGTATTTTGCTTAAGCAGATTGATGTTTGTTTTTAGTGTTGATTTTAAGATTAACAGCTCCTGAAATAATTAATTCCAAATATTTCTTCTGTAAAATGACAGTGTTGATTCAGATCTAATGCATTTTTCATCTTGTCTGTGATAAATGTATTAATAAAATATTTGATTTTAGGGCACTGTGATTTTTTTTTAATACCTGTTGTTAATCTAGACTGTATTAGCTATTTATTATATTAATTGAAACGTATAGAGCTATGTCTGTCTTAAGTGAAGTTATCACATCATTGACAATAATTGAAGCTTGAAAGGAATTGTGTTATCCTCAACACTTAAGCTGTAATAATTGCACTAATAATTTTTTATGGGGGAGGTGATAAAGACAGAGGTATAGTATCAACTTCCTAGCTACCATACTATACTACCTTAATGATGTTCAAGTCTCCTCAATGTATATATTTTTTATGTAAAAGAAATTGTGACGTTTATTATTTTTCATATTATGTTTCATAAACTTGCTATTGTTTTTTTTATTGAAATGTATTATTGATTAATTATTGACTAACATTGATATTACTCGTGTTTGTTCAGTTGTGATTTATCGCACAGATTTAATTTCTTTTTTTTTCAATTTTATTTCAAAAACATTTTATAATTTTAAGCAAAACAAATCTGTGCCAGTTGGATTATTTTGGACTTATGGTGAAAGTTAATTGCAGTTTAATTTTTTAAAGTAAAATTTGATTTTTCTTTTTACATTTCAGACTCCAGTAGCCTATGAAGTGAGGATGAGGGGTTGTTGTTTCAGAAACACCGACAAGATAAAATTGAAGAATTCATTTGTATGGAGTGCTGTGCTGCTGGAACTTCAGTTCATTTGGTTCTTATATAAAGCTTTTTGTAACAGTGTGACTCATGGGCCGTCCAGCCCTTTGTGTTGGTTGAATTTTTAGCACGCCATCAAAGTCTATTTTTGTTGTTGTTAGCTAAAACATTTGTTTGACTAATTGGAAAGTGCCCATTTTGAGGCAGTCTAACAAACTGTGGGAGTACACTCCACCATAACAAGACTATTTATGTGAATTTTTGTATAAAACAACATTTCAGAGCTTTACTTTACATTGAGTGTCATTTTACGTTGAATAATTTGTGTTTATATGGGATTGTTTTGTTGTATTTGATCTAATGACCATGGATCGAGTTAGTGTGTGCCAGGTGCCCTCAAGTCCATCTAAGAGCCAAGGGGACACTGTGGTACATCCAAACCAACAAATTCTTATTGAAGATGAAGCTACAGCAGGTACAGAGGTCATGCATGTGATTGCTGAAGATGTGGGTCCTATTAACCTGCAATCGAAAAGACAAAGCGTTGGTTTAAATGGAACTTTTGTATACTGTGAACAAGTACAGGAATGTCCGATGTCTTGGGAGGGGGGGATATCGGATGATGAAATGAGTCAGGAGCCAGACTCGAGCAGTATTATTCATGTTCCAGGTAATTACTTGGCTTATGACAGACAACCCCCTCCACCACCAGGTTCTCCCATTTGTACAGTTGATGAAAACTACCATCCAGGCATAACATGCAAGGTAAGATTTATTTTGTCTTAAGTTTCTTTCCACTACAAGTTTTTCATTTTTCTCTCTCTCTCTGACATTATATAAATAATTTTGTGTTTTGGGGAATTTTATTAGATTGCAGGAATGACTAAAAAATCAATTGGAGCTATGAGAAAACAATAATTTGTTGTAGGTGTTTGGCTACTTTGTTGTGAAAACAAGTAACTTACACAAAAATATGATGTTACTCATAGAAAAGAAAGTTTTGTGTATCTAGGTAAACATAAACAAAGAATTTGAAATGTAATATCCTGTTGCATCTGTTGTCGTTTGTTAATTTCCGGTATAAATTCTTCCCGAGGAACTTCGGCGATACG